GCATGGCGGCGCACACCTATAGTCCCAGCTACTTGGGAGGCTAATGCACGAGAACCACTAGAACCCTGAGGGCAGAGATTGCAGTGAGCCAAGATCACACCACTGCACTCCAGCCTGAGTGACAGAGAGACTCGGTCTCAAAAAAAAAATAATAAATAAAATCTACTACACCTTGCTAACTTAAAACTATTTATTTATTTATTTATTATTTTGAGACAAAGTCTTGCTCTCTTGCACAGGCTGGAGTGCAGTAGTGCAATTTCTGTTCACTACAACCTCCGCCTCCCGAGTTCAAGCAATTCTCCTGCCTCAGCCTCCTGAGTAGCTGGGATTACAGGAGCATGAGACCAAGCCTGGCAAATTTTTGTATTTTTCGTAGAAACAGGGTTTCACCATGTTAGTCAGGCTGGTCTCAAACTCCTGACCTCATGATCCACCTGTCTTGGCCTCCCAAAGTGCTGGGATTACAGGCATAAGCCATCGCACCTGGCTAACAATTTTTTGTGTGTGTGCCATGATTCAGATAGAATTTTTTTTTTAAGAGATAAAGGGAAAGATATTAAAAGCAGACTAAAAAGAAACAAAAACAAAGCCAGGCACAGGGGCTCATGCCTATAATCCCAGCCCTTTGGGAGGACAAATGAGGTAGGTCACTTGAGGTCAGGTGTTTGAGACCATCCTGGCTAACACGGTGAAATCCCGTTTCTGATAAAAATACAAAAAAGCAGGGCGCAGTGGCTCACACATATAATCCCAGCACTTTGGGAGGCTGAGGCAGGCAGATCACTTGAGGCCAGGAGTTCAAGACCAGCCTGGCTAACATGGTGAAAATACTCTGTCTCTACTAAAAATACAAAAATTAGCCAGGGGTGGTGGTGCATCCCTGTAATCCCAGCTACTTGGGAGGCTGAGGCTGAAGAATCATTTGAACCCAAGAGGCAGAGTTGCAGTGAGCCAAGATTGCGCCACTGCACTCCAGCCTGGGCTACAGAGCCAAACTCCATCTCAAAAAAAAAAAACCAAAACCCAAAAACCAAAAAAAAAATTAGCTGGGCATGGTGGTGCAAGCCTGTGGTCCCAGCTACTCATGAGGCTGAGGCAGGAAAATCACTTGAACCCAGGAGATGGAGGTTTCAGTGAGCTGAGATCACACCACTGCATTCCAGCCTGGACAAGAGTGAGATTCCATCTCAAAAAAAAAAAAAAAAAGAAACAAAAACATATATAAATGTCTACAACATGTGATCAGAAGAAGTAAGTAAACATAGTATGTTAGAACAAAACACTACAAAATCAGTTTACTGGCCGGGCGCAGTCACTCATACCTGTAATCCCAACACTTTGGGAGGCCCAGGTGGGCAGATCATCTGAGGTCAGGAGATCAGCCTGTCAACATGGGGAAACCCTATCTCTACTAAAAATACAAAAAATTAGCCGGGCTTGGTGGTGGGCACCTGTAATCCCAGCTACTCCAGAAGCTGAGGCAGAAGAATTGCTTGAACCGGGAGGCGGAGGTTACAGTGACTTGTCGTGCTAATTGCACTCCAGCCTGGGTGTCAAAAGCAAAACTCTGTCTCAAAAAAAAAAAAAAAAAAAAAAAAAAAGGCTGGGTGTGGTGGCTCATGCCTGTAATCCCAGTACTTTGGGAGGCTGAGGCAGGCAGATCACTTGAGGTCAGGAGTTCAAGACTAGCCTGGTCAACATGGTGAGATTCCAACTCCAAAAATACAAAAAAAATAGCCGGGCATGGTGATGCACACCTGCAATCCTAGCTACTTGGGAAGCTAAGGCAGGAGAATCCTTGAACCCGGGAGGCAGAGGTTGCAGTGAGCCAAGATCATGCCATTGCACTCCCACCTAGGCAACAAGAGCAAAACTCCAACTCAAAAAAAAAAAAAAAAAATCAGTTTAATGTGCAGTAGTAGCCCAGTGGTATCTTTTTAAAAAATAAATAAACTTGTACCAGTCAACACAAAATTTACTACCATAACCAGTTTAAACTACATGAAACCACCTTATAATTAATTTATATAATTCATACTGTCATAATTGCATGGCTCCAAGTAAAGCAGATTCCAAAAAGTATGACTAATAGGAAAGGAAATAGTTGAGGGAAAATATCCCAGAGGAAAAAAGTCTTCCTAAGACAGAAAGAAAAAACATCTACTTATACCAGGGAGCAGATTTCAAAAAAGCTTCTTGGAATTAAACTCAGGTATGCATCACTGATGAGATTAGGAGATTTGCTTACATAATACCAAAAAGATGACAATTTAAAGTGGTAAGCTTGAGATTATAACATGTTGAAAGTACATTCAAATGAGAGCTAAAATTCTTTGCAAGTATAAGCAAGAGGCAGCTTTAGAAATAAGAGCTGCTGTTTTCTCCTTTGTCAAGGGTAAAAAATGAATTCATTCAATGTGACCTGCACCACAGATGTTACTACCAAAAAAATCACTAACATGATACAGAAAATCCATGAGCCCACAGAATGTAAGAAGATTCCATTCAACAGTTTGGTTTGTTGGCTGGGTCTTCCTGCTGAGAAAAAAACTATCCTGTGGTATAGATGACCAAACTAAATTACCAGGCCTTAGCTGAGTTTGGAGGCTCATGCCTATAATCCCAGCATTTTGGGAGGCCACGGCAGGTGGATCACTTGAGTTCAGGAGTTCGAGACCAGCCTGGCCAACATGGTGAAGCCCCATCTCTGCTAAAAATACAAAAATCAGCCAGGTGTGGTAGCAGGCACCTGTCATCCCAGCTACTCAGGAGGCTGATGCGGAAGAATCACTTGAACTCAGGAGGCGGAGACTGTGGTGAGCTGAAATGGAGCCACTACACTCCAGCCTGGGTGATAGAGAGAGACTCAATCTTAATCAATCAATCAATCGATCAATAAAAATAAAAAGGAATTAAAAAAAAAAAAACTGGCCAGGTGCAGTAGCTCACATCTGTAATCCCAGCACTTTGGGAGGCTGAGGCAGGTGGATCACCTGAGGTCAGAAGTTCGAGACCAGCCTGACCAACACCGTGAAACCCGGTCTCTACTAAAAATACAAAAATTAGTTGGGCATAATGGCGGGCACTTATAATCCCAGCTACTTGGGAGGCCGAGGCAGGAGAATTGCTTAAACCCGGGATGTGGAGGAGGCAATGAGCCAATATCATGCCATTGCACTCCAGCCTGGGTGACAGAGTGAGACTCCATCTCAAAAAATAAATAAATAAATATTAAAAAAATAAAAACCACAAATCAAACAAAAATAATCCTATAGCTTAAGCCACTTTTACTGGGGTCTCAGGGTTTTTTTTTTTGCAGAAAGAATTTTAACTGATATATTTGGAAACAATCTTATTTGGATTATGATGTACCAAATAGAAAAAGGATTGAGAAATAAAAATTTTACCTTTTTGGGTACACATCCAACATTCACCTGGAAAAAAAAGAGACAAACTTCAAGAATTCTGAATTCAAATCATCAAACGAATCTGCAAGAAATGCATGCTAAGCATCAAGCAAGGAGACTTGGTTCTCACTAAATTCTAGTGACTTTCTTTGTTAAAAAAGATAGGAACATTATTTTCCATCTGTGATGAGGGAGAGAAGTTTATTCATCAGCATTTTCTCAAGGAAAACAGACAGAGAAAGAACAATCAGCCCATTTAAGTAGCTGTCTTAGAGGACTTCTGGGAAAAGTACCCTGGAATACACGGATAAATACCCAAGATGGGCCAGGCGTGGTAGCTCATGCCTGTAATTCCAGCACTTTGGGAACTGAGGCAGTTGAATTGCTTCAGCCCATGAATTCAAGACCAGCCTTGGCAACACGTGAGAACCCATCTCAACAAAAATAAAATTAGCTGGGTGTGGTGGTGCACGTCTGAGGTCCCAACTACCCAGGAGGCTGAGGAGGGAGGACCACTTGAGCCTGGGAGGTCAAGGCTGCAGTGAGCCATGGTCGTGCCACTGCACTCCAGCCTGGGTGACACTGCAAGACCCTGCCTTTGAAAAAAAAAGAAGACTGAACATTGAGATACTGGTGAATACCCACCCAAAGCACAAAAATCTAAAGTACCTGGCCTAGAACTTGGGATATTGATTAATGTTAGTAAAGAAACTTGAGGAAACCTAAATAAATATTAGATCTCATAAAATGACTTTAACTACTAGCCTAAAGAAGTAACTGAAGATGTAGAAAGGACAAATGCACAAACACAGAGATGATCATGTTATGTACAAATACATATTTGATTAGTCATTTCCATTTCACCATTAGTTAATATATAGAAAAATACTTACGGAATAAAAGTAGAAAAAGCAAGACCCAAAAAATTCCTTTTTTTTTGAGACAAAGTCTCGCTTTGTTGCCCAGCCGGGACTGCAATGGCATGCTCTCGGCTCACTGCAACCTCCACCACAGGTATTCAAGCAATTCTCCTGCCTCAGCCTCCCGAGTAGCTGGGTCTGCAGGCGCACATCACCACACCAGGCTAATTTTTGTATTTTCAGTAGAGATGGGGTTTCGCCATTTTGACCATGCTGGCCTTGAACTCCTGACCTCAGGTGATTCACCCATCTCAGTCTCCCAAAGTGCTAGGACTACAGGCATGAGCCACAGCACCCAGCCAGAAAACTACTTTTTTTTTTTTGAGACTGAGTCTCACTCTATCACTCAGGCTATAGTGCAGTGGTAAGATGCAACCTCTGCCTCCCAGGTTCAAGTGATTCTCGTGCCTCAGCCTCTCAAGTAGCTGGGATTACAGATGCCCACCATCATACCTGGCTAATTTTTGTATTTTTAGTAGAGACAGGGCTCTACTATGTTGGTCAGGCTGATCTCAAACTCCTGACCTCAAGTGATCTGCCCACCTCAGCCTCCCAAAGTGCTGGGACTACAGGCATAAGCCACCATGCCCAGCCAAAAACTACATTTTTTAAAAGATAAAAGATAATTTAAATAATATTTTTCATCTGTCATATTGGCAAAACATTTTTTCTATTTCCATAATTAGCATTTACTTTTAAATTCATAATCATGAATGCAAGATTACAATAATAACCCAAGAGATGAGGTACGTAGTACTTATCATTTGTTCTCTGGAGGAGAGAAATACAGAAGCTGTTTAGGGCAAGTCCATAGTGACCTAATTTATAACAGACTATTCACTTTAAACTAAGTTGATGGTGGCTTTATGTGAACAAAATGATCTACCTAGTTCACTAACTCCCAGAAGGCTCTTTCAGGTACCCTGCTATGATGCAACCAATCTCAAATATTATTTGAAAACCATTTAGATTGGCAAAAATTGTAAAGGTTGACTATAACTAGTCTTAGCAAACACATCCTGATTGGACAAGCAATTCTACTTGTAGGAATGTAACCTACAAAAGTAGTCACATATTCTGCTCCTGTGTCCAAAGATGAATTTATAAGGATATTTCCTGAAGTTCAGTCATAATTGGTAACTACAGACACATTATCCAACAGCAGGGAAGTATTAAATAAATTGTTGTACACTGAGTCTGTGGAATATTCTGCAGCCAATTAAAAAGGGCAAGGTAGATTTCTATGTAGTATATGGAAAGAGTTCTCACATACAATATTATGCATCAAAAAGAAAGTTGCAGAGTTATGCCATGATCCAATTCATATTTACACGCAGTATGTATGTATGTATACATGGGTGTAAACACAGTTTGGCTGTACTCAAGCAGTCAACAGTGTTTCTCTAGGGAGGAAGAAAACTTTCATATTTTGTTCTGTATGCCTTTTTGTTTTTTTGAGACAGGGTCTTGCTCTGTCATTCAGGCTGGAGTGCAATGGCTCAATCTCAGCTCACTGCAACCTCTGCTCTTCAGGATCAAGCAATCCTCCCTCCTCAGCCCCCAAGTAGTTGGGACCACAGGTGTTCACCACCATGCCTGGTATTTTTAGTAAAGACAGGGTCTCACCATGTTGCCCAGGCTGGTCTTGAACTCCTGAGCTCAAGTGATCCCCCCACCTTGTGGATCACAAAGTGCTGCGATTACAGGTGTGAGCCACTGTGACTGAATATGTTTTTTTAAAATAAATAATATTTTTCTAAAAATATAGAGACCAGGGTCTCACCTTGTTGCCCAGGCTGATCTCAAACTCCTGGGCTTAAGCAATCCTCCTATCCTGGCCTTCCAAAGTGTTGAGATTACAGGCGTGAGACCATACATAGCCTCCATATGCTTTTTATTTTTTAAATAAAAATTTAAAAGAGTTAGGCAGGGCGCGGTGGCTCAAGACTGTAATCCCAGCACTTTGGGAGGCCGAGGCGGGTGGATCACGAGGTCAAGAGATCGAGACCATCCTGGTCAACATGGTGAAACCCCGTCTCTACTAAAAATACAAACAATTAGCTGGGTATAGTGGTGCATGCCTGTAATCCCAGCTACTAGGGAGGCTGAGGCAGGAGAATTGCCTGAACCCAGGAGGCGGAGGTTGCGGTGAGCCGAGATCGCGCCATTGCACTCTAGCCTGGGTAACAAGAGTGAAACTCCATCTCAAAAAAAAAAAAAATTTAAAAGAGTTGACAAAAATAGAGACAAGGTCTCAGTATATTTCCCAGGCTGGTCTTGAACTCCTGACTGATCAAGTGATCCTCCAGCCTCAACCTCCCAAAGTGCTGGGATTATAGGTGTGAGCCACCATGCTTGGCCTCTATAAGTTTTTTCTACTTGTGTAATTGTTTTTAGATATTTGTAAACCAGAATAACCAAAATTACATCAAAATGATTTAATCTAGGAAGTGGAATGTTGGCGAGTGCTTCTTCAATCCCTCGTCTATAATACAATTATTCTTTTATACTAAAATGAATGCTTTCTAGACATAATTTATATTAGTGGCTTGTACCTCTGCTGATCCATGACCATAAGAAACTAGGTTCGCTTTCTGTTTGCCCCAGTAATACCATCCTGGCTCTTACAATAGAATGTTTTCGGGGTATCCTCCTATGGTGGAACTTGAACCACGTATGTACTAGCCAAGGCACTTCCTATGAAAAGCTAAATTCAAAGAAACCTGCCCAAAGCTCATGAAAATCGCTAATGTTTGAAACAGATGGTCTTCCTGAAAAGTAATCTTCTATTCCTTTAGTTGCTCCAAACTCTAACAGCATACCGGTAGGCTATAATTTCATCATAATCCTATTATTTGCCATCATTCTGCACTCTGTTATTATAAAGGAATAAGTGATGGCCGGGTGAGGTGGCTCACGCCTGTAACCCCAGCACTTTGGGATGCCGAGGCAGGTAGATCACCTGAGGTCAGGAGTTCGAGACTAGCTTAAGCAACATGGTGAAATCCCATCTCTACTGAAAACATAAAAATTAGCCAGGCGTGGTGGCATGCATCTATAGTCCCAGCTACTCGGGAGGCTGAGGCAGGTGAATCATTTGAAGCTGGGAGGCAGAGGTTGCGGTGAGCTGAGATTCACCATGGCACTCCAGCCTGAGACTGTGTCTCAAAAAAATTAAAATAAAATAAAAGGAATGAGTTATCTTTCTTTATAGTCTCAGGTTATTGGTTATATGGGATTTCTTTTTTCCTGGAAAGAGATGAAAAAACTGTGAAGTTTTAGACTTGGATTTTATTTGTTTGTTTTTTTAGTAGAAATAGTTTCGCCATCTTGGTCACACTAGTCTTAAACTCCCGACCTCAGGTGATCCACCCGCCTCAGCCTCCCAAAGTGCTGGGATTACAGGCGTAAGCCACCGTGTCCGGCTAGACTTGGATTTTTTTAATGCAATTGTGCTACAATAAGAATATTAAAGACAACAGAAACAGGAACTCATGGGATTGAGAAAATGGTACAGAATTCAAGCCTCATAAAAGAATCAACACCTACAACAACATGACAACCACACTACATAGAAAGTACTTCTTATTAACAATTACAATAATTTCTGAGCTGGGTATGGTGGCTTATGCCTGTAAACCCCACACTTTGGGAGGTTGACAAGAAAGATGATTGCTTGAGCCAAGGAGTTAAGAGACCAGCCTGGGCAACATAGTGAGACCCTGAGACCCCATCTCTGCAAAAAATAAAATAAAAAATTAGTGGGGCTTGGTGGTGCATGCCTGCAGTTCCAGCTATTCAGGAGGCTGAGGCAGGAGGATCACTTGAGCCCAGGAGTTGAAGGCTACAGTGAACTATGATCACACCACTGCACTCCAGCCTAGGTAACAGAGCCAGACCCTACCTATAGAAACTAATAATGATAATAATAATAAATGTATGGCTTTCTATCTAGAGTGCCCTCTTATCTGGCCAAGCTGAGAATATGTTGTTTCTCAACCCCCAACATATTCTCAGTATCTGACCACACTACTGAAATAAATAGAATGAACCATTTCTAAGAAAGGAGGACGACAGGAGTTTCTTAACAGTAAAAGCAGAGAAAGGAGGCCGAAACTCTGTGGGAAGGACAATCCCGGCTCCATAATGGGAATTATTTTCTCATCCAACCTGCCTTTTCCAGTTATTCTGCAGGCAAAGTGCTTCCCAGTGCTTTCCACCCACACCTTTACACCCTGCAGTTCACAGTTTAAGTTTACTAAGTGGCTTCAACTAGGACAGACTCCAAAAGCAATTTTCCCAAAGATGATATGTCTGCTAAGTAAATACTGCTGGTCCTCCAGCCATGGTTTCCGACTTCCCAAGAATCATTAAAAACAATCCAACGGTGTCATAAAGCACTCAATGTTCTAAATACTGTCACATAACAACCATTTGTTCCTCATGTATATTTAAAGCTACTTTAAAGTTATTTAAGGCTTCTTTTTTTAAGTCTTTTAAAAATATGTTTTTAAAGGTTTTTTTTAAAGATGTTTAATTTTAAAACATTCTTTTTTTGGAATATGTTTCTTCTTTTTTTTGAGATGGGAGTCTTGCTCTGTCGCCAGGCTGGTATGTGGTGGCACGATCTCAGCTTGCTGCTTCCTCTGCCTCCTGTGTTCAAGCGATTCTCCTGCCTCAACCTCCCAAGTACCTGGGACTACAGGCACATGCCACCACACCCAGCTAATTTTCTTTTTTTGAGACCAAGTCTTTCTCTGTCACCCAGGCTGGAGTGCAGTGGCGCGGTCTCAGCTCACTGCAACCTCATCCTCCCAGGTTCAAGCGATTCTCCTGCCTCAGCTTCCCAAGTAGCTGGGATTACAAGCTCATGCCACTACCCCTGGCTAATTTTTGTATTTTTTTTTTTTTTTTTTTTTAGAAGGAAAGAAAAAAAAAAAAGTAAGTAAAGGAGAGGAAGAGAAAGAGGGAGAGTAAATGGAAATATTGCTTTATTTTGAAAAAAATTGGGTATTAATAATGGCCAATCAATGTTTCATTTAAACTTATGGGTAGGTGTGATGTGGTATTGACAAGAATGTATATTTTGTGTATTTGAAGTGGAGAGCTCTATAAATATTTATTAAGTTTACTTGTTCTGGATCTGAGTTCGAGTCCTTGATATCCTTATTAATTTTCTGTCTCATTGAATCTAAGTCTCGTATCTGGGTGTTAGGATCGTTAGCTCTTGTTGTTGCATTGATCCTTTTACCACTATATCTTTGTTGCTTTAAAATCTATTTTATCTGATACAAGAATTGCAACTCCTGCTTTTTATTTATTTATTATTTATTTTTGCTCTCCATTTGGTTGGTAAATCTTTCTCCATCCCTTTGTTTTGAGTCTTTGTGTTTCCTTGCATGTGAAACAGGTCTGGATATAACATGCCGTTGGGTTTTGGCTGTGTCTTTTGATTGGGAATTTAGTCAATTTAAATTTAGGGTTACTGCCATTTGATGTTGACTGGCTGTTTTATCCATTTGTTGGTGTAAATTCTTCTTTATGTTGGTGCTCTTTACTTTTTGGTGTATTTTTAGAAAGGCTAATACTGGTTGTTTCTTTCTGTGTATAATGCTTCTTTCAGAAGCTCTTGCAAAGCAGGCCTGGTGGTAATAAAATCTCTGAGTTCTTGCTTGTTCATAAAAGATTTTATTTTTCCTTCAGTTGTGAGGCTTAGTTTGGCTGGATATGAAATTCTGGGCTGAAGGTTCTGTTCTTTGAGGATGTTGAATATTGGCCCCCACTCTCTTCTGGCCTGTAGAGTTTCTGCCGAGAGATCTGCTGTAAGTCTGATAGGCTTGCCTTTGTGGGTTATCTGACCTTTCTCTCTGGCTGCCCTTAGTATCTTCTCCTTCATTTCAACCCTGGTGAATCTAACGATTATGTGCCTTGGGGTTGCTCTTCTTGAGGAATATCTTTGTGGTGTTCTCTGTATTACCTGGGGTTGAATGTTGACCTGCTTTGCTAGTTTAGGAAAATTTTCCTGAATAATATCCTGAAGGGTATTTTCCAGCTTGGATTCATTCTCTCCGTGGCATTCAGGTACACCTATCAAACGTAAATTTGGTCTTTTCACATAGTCCCACATTTCTTGGAGACTTTGCTCATTCCTTTTTATCCTTTTTTCTCTAATCTTTTCTTCACGTTTTATTTCATTAAGTTGGATTTTGACCTCTGATATCCTTTCTTCTGCTTGAACAATTTGAGTGTTTAAACCTGTGCATACTTCTCGGAGTTCCTGTATTGTATTCTTCAGTTCCATTAATTCACTCATACTCCTCTCTAAGTTGTCTATTCTCAATAGGATTTCATCAAACCTTTTTTCAAAGTTCCTAGTTTCTTTACGTTGGGCTACAACATGTTCTTTTAACTCACCGAAGTTTGTTATTATCCATTCCTTGAAGAGTGATTCTGTCATCAGGATGCGCTCGTTCTCCATCAAGCCTTGTTCCATTGTTGATGTGGAACTGTGATCATCTTTAGAGGGAGAGGCGTTCTGACTTTGAGCATTCTCAGCTTTTTTACGCTGGTTTCTTCCCGTCATTGTAAATTTATCCTCCTGTCGTCTTTGAAATTACCAACTTTCAGATTAGGTCTCTTGAGTGGACGTCCAGGTTGTTAGTTCCCAGGGCCAGAGCAGCAGCGTTAAAACTGATGGTGCTTTTCTGGCCAGGATTCTCCTGTCGGGCTTCCGTCTTGTGTCCGTAGTAGGTGACTCTGCCTTCCCGGGGCTCCAAACCTCGGTCAGAAGGGGAACCGTTCCCGTTTACTCTGCGCCGAGCGCTGCCGCCTCGAGGTGCCGGCGGAACCGCTGCGCCGACCACGAGAGTCGCGCTGGCGACTCGTGTGTTTCCACCACTGGGGGATCTTCTGCTTCGTGAGCGACCAGACTTTGTCTGAAAGTGTGGCGTCCTCTAGTTCTCCGCGCCTTCCCTGAGAGCTGCAATCCCGGGATGTTAGCGATCGGCCATCTTGGATCGTTCCTAATTTTTGTATTTTTAGTAGAGACGGGGTTTCACCATGTTGGCCAGGATGATCTTGACCTCAGGATCCACCCACCTCAGCCTCCGAAAGTCCTGGGATTAAGGCATGAGCCACCGCACCTGAACCATGGAATATGTTTCTTCTAAGCACCAAGGTGGGCTTTCACTGGTGCCTGGGGTATGTAACTCTGGTTTGCTTTTTAGAAATTTCTGCCTTTTTCGATTCTACATTGTCTTAGCTTGCAGTCATTCATTCAGAGGTACTGAGTAAGCACCCACTTGTGTCAGGCAAGATGCAATGTAAGGCACTAAATAGATATAGCCCCTGCTCTTGGGGAGCCTGCAGTAGTGCCAGCTTAGAGAGGTTCTGGGCCTATCCAAGATACTGACTCAAGGGGCAGCAACAGAATCACCACATTACCTAAAATTGAAGAGCATCGGGCCAGAAATCAGAGGAAGAGGACGGTAGAAAATTGTGGCCTTGTTGGGCCAGAGGAGCTGCGCTCCAGCACAACACACTTTGGGGCCTGGAGCACTGGTTGAAAGGAGGCCTGTGACCCTGAAATACCGCTGTCCTATTTTGCCAGCTCCTATGAACAGGCCTCCAAGGATCTCCATTGCTTTCAGAGACTTATTTACACGCCAGCAATATGACGTAACCTCAGAGCCTATGACTTGGAAGGAATGAAAAGCACATTTAGGCTGGGAGTGGCAGCTCACACCTGTAATCCCAGCACTTTGGGAGGCCAAGGCAGGTGGATCACTTGAGGCCAGGAGTTGAAGACAAGCCTGGGCAACATGGTGAAATCCCATCTCTAGAAAAAATACAAAAATTTGCGAGGTATGCTAGCATGAGCCTGTAGTCCCAGCTACTGGGAGGTTTAGGCAGGAGGAACACTTGAGCTTGGGAAGTCAAGGCTGCAGTGAGCTAAGATAGCACCACTGCACTCCAACTTGGACAACAGAGTGAGACCCTGTCTCAAAAAATACACATTTAGTTTAACGGAGAGCTGGGGAGTCCAGGAGTGAAAAGCTAGAACAGTCTCACCACCCATCCCCTCTCTGCTGCTCCCTTCTCATTTTTTTTTTTTGAGGCAGAGTCTCACACTGTCTCCTGAGCTTGGGTACAGCGGCATGACATCAGCTCACTGCAACCTCTGCCTCCTGGGTTCAAGTGACTCTCCTGCCTCAGCCTCCCGAGTAGCTGGGATTACAGAAGCCCGCCACCACGCCCAGCTAATTTTTTGTATTTTTAGTAGAGATGAGGTTTCGCCACACTGACCAGGCTGGTCTTGAACTCCTGACCTCGTGATTCGCCTGTCTCGGCCTCCCAAAGTGTTGGGATTACAGGCGTGAGCCACCGCACCTGGACTCAATTTCTTACACATTAGAGATGGGGTCTTACTATGTTGCCCAGGCTGGCCTCAAACTCCTGTGCTCAATTGACCCTCTCACCTTAGCCTCCCAAAGTGTTGGGATTACAGGCATGAGCCACCATACCAGGCCTTCTTTCCCCTTCTCTAGCTCAGGGATCCCTGATCCCCAGGTGCCTGTTAGGAACCAGGCTACACAGCAGGAGGTGTAAGCAAATGAAGCTTAATCTGTATTTATAGGTGCTTCCCATTGCTAGCACTGCCTGAGCTCCATCTACCTCCTTTCATCAGCAGCAGCATTAGATTCTCATAGGAGCACAAACCCTACTGAGAACTGTGCATGCAGGGATCTAGGCTGCACACTCCTTATGAGAATCTAATGCCTGATGATCCTCACTTCTCCCATCACCCCCAGAAGGAACTGTCTAGTTGTAGGGCTCCCACTCAGTCTACATTATGGTGAATGGTATAATTCTTTCATTATATATTATGACATAATAGAAATAAAGTACACAATAAATGTGATGCAGGCTGGGCTGTGGTACCTCATGCCTGTAATCCCAGCACTTCAAGAGGCCTAGGTGGGTGGGTCACCAGAGGTCAGGAGTTCAAGTCCAGCCTGGCCAACATGGTAAGACCCTGTCTCTACTAAAAATACAAAAATTAGTCAGGTGTGGTGGTAGGTGCCTATAATCCCAGCTACTTGAGAGGCTGAGGCAGGAGAATGGCTTGAAACCAGGAGGCAGAGGTTGCACTGAGCCGAGATCACACCATTGCACTCCGGCCTGGGCAACAAAAGCAAAACTCCATCTCAAAAAACAAAAACGAATAAATAAATAAATGTGATTCACTTAAATCCTGAATCACCCTGAAATCATCCCCTACTCCTGGTCTGTGGAAAACCTGTCTTCTACAAAACTGGTTCCTGGAGCCAAGAAGGTTGGGGACCGCCACTCTAGCTGACCTGTGCATCAGGTTGTCAGACAGAGCACAGGCCTCAAGTCAGACAGACAGGAGTTTGACTCTGAGCTCTCCCATTTAGTGGCTGTAGGTCACTAAATTTCTCCTAGCTCAGTTTATTCCATAAAAAGAGAATAATGCTTCCATTATGGAGATTTTGTGGTGGTCAGAGATAAGGTATATAAAGCATCTATTTCTGATCTGTGATAGAGCTGATGGTGACCAACACCTCTAAATTATTTCTTCGGTCTGCTGGCTCCTCGGGTGCACACAAGGCATATGGGAAGGAGATAAATTCCCCAGGGGCCTTTCTACCTGAAACATATCAGCTGATCACAAGGGAAGTTTGCCTCCCAGACTGGAGCATCATCCAGATGAGTTCTCAGGGCTCTGGTTGCCCAGAGTTGCACACTGCTAAGACCCTAAGCATATATCACTGGAAGATTCCCTAGATCTCTATGTGGACATTAATGAGGGATATGAAAGAAGTTTCTTTTTTTTTTTCTTTTTGAGACAGAGGCTCATTCTGTCACCCAGACTGGAGTGTACAGTAGCACGATCTGAGCTCATTGCAATTTCTGCCTCCCAGGTTCCAGTGATTCTCAGTCTCCCAAGCAGCTGAGATTACAGGCATGTACCACCACGCCTGGCTATTTTCTTTTCCTTTGTTTTGTTTTGAGACAGATTCTCACTCTTGTTGCCCAGGCTGGAGTGCAGTGGTGCAATCTCGGCTCACTGCAACCTCTACCTCCCAGGTTCAAGCGATTCTCCTGCCTCAGCTTCCCAAGTACCTGGGATTACACCATGCCCAGCTAATTTTTGAATTTTTAGTACAGACGGGGTTTTGCCATGTTGGCCAGACTGGCCTCAAACTCCTGGCCTCAAGTGATCCAGCCACCTTGGCCTCCCAAAGTGGTGGGATTACAGGCATGGGCCACTGTACCCAGCTAAGAAGCAAATTTCATAGGCCGTTCAGTAAACGAATCATCAAGGAGACTCCTGTAACTCAGCCTCCATTTCCAAATTGATGATCCATTCCTGAGAGCTTCCTCTTCCAACCAATCTAGTGTTCAGAATCCTGGTCAGCGGGCCTGCTGGCATTAGCTCACAGTGAAGACAGGGCACCCCCTCCAAGGAGGGACTGAGCATGTATAGAGTTTGGTGACAACAGGTGGCAAAATTCAGAAACTTCACCATTTTTCCTTGGGCCTGCCTCCCTACCTTCAGTCCTGCCTAGCCAGGGAGAAACCTCACATTGCTCATGTTGGCAGTGAAACAAGAAGTTGGTTAATTTGCAACTGCACCTGCCAAGAACATCACCTGTGTCCAATAGTGAACTTCCGGCTGGGTGTGGTGGCTCATGCTGTAGTCCCAGCACTTTGGGATTACAACATGAGCCACCACAGGACTGCTTGAGTCCAGGAGTTAGAGACAAGCCTGAGAAACACAGTAAGATCTTGTCTCCACAAATAAAAAATTTAAAAATTAGCTGGGTGTTGTGGTGCTCGCCTGTAGTCCCAGCTACACAGGAGGCTGAGGTAGGAGGATCGTTTGAGCACAGGAGTTTGAGGCTGCTGTGAGCTGTATGACACCACTGCGCTGAAGCCTGGATGAAAGAGCAAGACCCTGTCTCAAAAAAAAAAATGTGAACTTCCTTCCTCTGGTTCCCCCCAACCCCCACCACAGAATTGCCTACAGTTTCCTCCCTGTAGTCCTAGTCCTTCTTTGCTGTCTAAAATCTAATTCAAGAACAAAATGACAGAACTACCTAGAAAATAGACAAATCATCATTTCCAAAGCAAAACACTATCGATTCATCAACTCATTTTTCTTTTTTTTTCCGAGCCAGAAGCTCTGGGTGTCATTTATTGACAGCAGTTTATACACATTTGTTTCCTTCCCAGGGTTGTTTCTTTCCCAGGACAGGCACAAAGCCCTTGAGAAGGGCAGTCTCTGAACTGGGGAGCCAGGAACACAGGTCGGACATGTCTTTAACAGGCATATTCAGCCCTAGCAGGATGCAAATCCTTCCATTTGGAATTCCACTGGGTATTTGAGAGGGACCAAGGTGCAGGGTAGAGAGGGAGTCTTCGACAGGACTCACATCTCGGCCCAGGCCTCCTCTCTCACTATCCAAGTCCATCCAAGTTATAGGACCCTAGGGGAAAACAGTCAGGCCCACCCACCTCAACAGGGGCAGATTCTTCAATCTGTGCCCAGTTCACACACAACTGCTTCCACTGGTTGCAAAGTTAAAGAGAATCAGCCTTATGGTAAGAGACAAACTGCTTCCTCTCTGCCCCTCCCCAGCACCTCTCTTCAGTGGCCCCTGCGCAGGAACCTCTGGGAAGAGGGAGGCCTGCCTTCTCAGTTCAGCCACGTGGCCACATCCACAAATCTTCCATGCAGGATGGAGGCCATACGCGGACCCAGGCGGACACCTGTGCTCCCCAGTCCATCACACACTGCCCTGCCTGCATGCTACCAAATGCTGGTGCCCAGGCCGGAGCTCCAGCAGGCCCCCAATTGGGAACTAAAGCCAGTTTGCATAGGTACTTGGCAATTTTTGGTAGGCAGGTGGATAAAAAAGTAGATGGGTGTGAGAAGAATGAAAGCCATTCATCTGACAGACTAATTAGAGATCCAAAGTGATTTTACCTTTATTTCCTTCACTTTAAGCCAATCATGAAATTTCACAGTGATTTCTGGGGTGGGGGCAGAAGGGAAGGCTGTGTCAAGAATCACTGGGGCTGTGGCCCAGTCAGCCCGTGGAGGTGCAGGTAGGGTGGGCCTTCACTGGGGCAGCTGGAGGAGCACGGACTGCCTCACCAGCAGGTAGGTGATGTTCCGAGAGTGTGAGAGCTGGTACACGATGTCCTCTGCAGCTTCCAGCTTGCGCAGCTCGATTAGGCCATCCCCTGCGGTGGCCAGTGAGCTGGCGATCAGCTCAGCTGTCTTGGAGTCGCCCTCAGCAGAGATGATAGCCGCCTTTTTTCTGCTGCTCAGCCTTTTCCACCACAAATCTGGCCCTCTCTGCTTCCTGCTGAGCCACCTGTTTGGCTTCCACCGCTTCTGTGAACTGCTTCCCAAAGGTGTCAGATGTGTCAAGGACACACCATCCAGGATGAGCCCAAAGGTGACTGCTCACTCCATAAGGTCGTCGCTCACCTGCCTGGAGACTAGCTCTCTCTGGTTGATTAGTTTTCTAGCATCAAAGAGAGCTACCGCTGACTTGAGATCGCAGTCGTGATGGAGGGCAGCACACATTCATCATCATCCGATGCTGGTGAAGATGTGAGGAAGCTGGCTAGTGATGGGCCGGAAAAGGACATGCAGTGTGATGTTGACATTCTGTAAATCTTTGCTACCAGTGATGATTGGCACATTACATGGCTGAGAACGGCAGTCAAAGATAACTGGTTTCCGTGGGATGAGAAAGTGAGTCCCTTCCCCTACTGCAATGTCCTGTACTACACGGAATCGGTCAAAGACGACAGCTCTGTGCCCAGCATCCACATTATATAAGGCAGAGTTCACCAGGCCTCCTGCAACAGCTAAGCCCAGGCCAAACTTGCCGATGGACTCACACACTTTGGCAGCCATGTTTCCTTCTGCTGGACCCTCTCACACCTGCTTCCACTCTGACCTCCACATCAGTTCCCCCCATCGACTCGTTCTTTCAGCAACTATATATTGAGTACTTGCTTTGTGCAAAACACTGTTCTAGGGGCTTGGACTAAATTGATGACTGACACAGATAAAGATCCCTGTCATTGTTGCATTTCATCAGCTTTATACCAACCGTGACTAAATATAATGCTATCTGGACACAGCCCTGTCCTTGGCACATATTCACTGTTCAATATCCATGTCTCCACCTTCAAAGCCTTTTCTTTTCTTTTTTTAGATGGAGTTTTGCTCTGTTGCCTAGGTTTGGGCATAGTGGCACGATCTCTGCTCACTGTAACCTCCATCTTCCGCGGGTTCAAGTGATTCTCCTGCCTCAGGCTCCTGAGTAGCTGGGGTTACAAGCCCATGCCACCATGCCAGGCTAATTTTTGTATTTTTAGTAGAAACTGGGTTTCACCATGTTGGTCAGGCTGGTCTCAAACTCCTGACCTTGTGATCTGCCCACCTCAGCTTCCCAAAGTGCTGGGATTACAGGTGTGAGCCACCACACCCAGCCTCAAAACCTTTTTTTCATTTCAGATGAAGGTTAGTTCATGGATGCATCAAGCTTAACAAAGAAAAAAAAAAAGCACTCTGCATAAAGCAAAATCTAAAGCAAGAAAATGAACGGATACATTTGTAAGAGATATTAACAAAGGCTGTTTTTGTTCAATGTTAAGCTAAGCAGAACATTAGATTAACTTGAACCTCCCAGTCTCAGGAAATCATCAGATTCAAAAGAATTGTGGCAGAGTGCAGTGGCTTACACCTGTAATCCTGGCACTTTAGGGGGGCCAAGGCAGGAGGATCCTTTGTGCCCAGGAGTTTGAGAGGAGTCTGGACAACACAGCGAGACCCCATCACCACAAAAAATAACCTGTAGTCTCAAAGTTGGGAAGCTAAGGCAGGAGGATCACCTAAGCCCAGGATATTGAGGCTCACTGCAACCTCAAACTGCCAAGTTTGAGGTTGTAGTAAGCCATGATCATGCCCTTGTACTCCAGCCTGGGTGACACAGTGAGACCTTGTCTCAGGGAAAAAAAAAACAACGTATGTCCAGTGGTTAGCCATAATCATGTCACTGCACTCTAGCCTTGGCGACAGAGTAAGACCCTGTCTCAAAAAAATTTAAAAAAGAATTGTTACTCTGGGGCATCCAGGGGGAACAAGAAAGTTCTGTGAGACAATACTTCCATGATTCAGTCCCCCCATTACCTGATGCGCACCGTCTCATGTGCCCCCAAAAGAAAAGAACCTGGGACCTCCACATCCTATTAGGTTGGTGCAAAAGTAATGGCAGTAACATTTAATGTTGCAACACCTAGTGAATACATGGTAATTAATTGTGACTGACTGGAATCCACTTACAAATACCAAAGTGGGCCAGGTGTGGTCCATGCCTATAATCCCAGCACTTTGGGGGCTGAGGTGGGCAGATCATTTGAAGTCAGGAGTTTAAGACCAGCTTGGCCATCATGGCGAAACCCCATCTCTACTAAAAATACAAAAATGAGCCAGGCATGGTGGTGGGCACCTGTAATACCAGCTACTCAGGAGGCTGAGGTAGAAGAATCGCTAGAACTCAGGAGGTGGAAGTTGCAGTGAGCCTAGATCATGCCACTGCACTCCAGCCTGAGTGACAGTGTTATTTAAAAAAAAAAAAAAAAAAAAAAAAAGCCAGAGGGTATCACTATTTCCATATCATTCCTTTAGTTTCTCAGTATAAAAAAAAAAAAATTCTTGGATTGTTGGCCAGGCACAGTGGCTCATGCCTGTAATCCCAGCACTTTCGGAGGCTGAGGTAGGTGGATCACTTGAGGTCAGGAGTTCAAAACTAGCCTGGTCAACATGGTGAAAGCTTGTCACTACTAAAAAATAAAAAATAAAAAACCACACACAAAAATACAAAAAATTAGCTGGGCGTGTTGGCATGTACTTCTAGTCCCTACTTGAGAAGCTGGGCAGGAGAATCACCTGAACCCAGGAGTTGGAGGTTGCAGTGAGCCAAGATGGCACCACTGCACTCCAGCCTGGGCGACAGACAATGTCTCAAAAACATAACAAAAAAAAAAATGCATTCTCTGTGGCTACTTTTCAAAGGCTGTTTTACAGAGAAATAGACACCCTGAAGGATTCAGAGGCAGTCTTTCTTTTTTTAGCCCTGCAGATTTAGTGGGTTTTGAGGCAGATGGCAAAGTAACAGTATACAAGGACTGGTACAAAAAAATTAAGCAATGAACAAGGTAAGTTAAAAGCCAGATTTCAACAATAGCATTTGCTGGCTTTAATTAGCTCCACCCATTATGGGCACTCCTTTGTCACTTACGAATATGGGTGGGTCTCATTCTATGAAATGTTAAACCCAGGAGACACATTAGGGTAACCTCCTATTTGAGGGCTGTCAATAGTGCAGGAACTGATGACAGAGTTCCTTTAAACTGATCTCCTTCTTAGTAAATTACATTAACAATGCATGTTTGCTAGGTGTGGTGGCTCACGCCTGTAATCCTAGCACTTTGGGAGGCCAAGGCAGGTGGATGACCTGAGGTCAGGAGTTCAAGACCAGCCTGAGCAACATGGTGAAACCCTGTCTCTACTAAAAATACAAAATTATAACAAAGTAGTTTCCAAAGATGGACAGTAAAAAATAAAAAAGAAAAAGGAAAAAAAAAAAAATTAAAAAATAAAAAATTAGCCAGGCCTTGTGGCGCATGCCTGTAATCTCAGCTACTCAGGAGGCTGAACCAGGAGAATTGCTTGAACCTGGGAGGCAGAGGTTGTGGTGAGCCTAGATCATGCCATTGTACTCCAGCCTGGGATATGAGAAAAACTCCATCTCAAAATAATAATAATGCATGTTCAGGCTGGGCACAGAAGCTCATGCCTATAATCCCAGCACTTTGAGAGGCTGAGGTGGGAGGATTGCTTGAGCTCAGGAGTTTGAGACCAGCCTGGGCAACAACAAAGCAAGACCTTGTCTCTACTAAAAATTTTAAAAATCAGCCAGTGCATGGTGGTGGCCGTGTGCCTGTGGTCCTGACTACTGGGGATGCTGAGGCAGGAGGAGCACTTGAGCTTGGCAGTTTGAGGCTGCAGTGAGCTATTATCATGCCCTTGTACTCCAGCCTGGGTAACACAGTAAGACCCTGTCTCAGGGGAAAAAAAAAGTACATCCAGTGTTTAGCCTTATCGGGATATAGACATCATAATATCAAAGTACACGGTATCACTTCCAAGTGAGGTTACATGTTGCTGGGTAATTATTTTCAGGCTAGATGAGCAATGATTCACTCAGCAGCCTGCTGTTCAAGGATCTTTCAAAGCCCATGCCTCTCCCCCAGGCCTCTCCAACTGGTGCTGTGCAGCACAGTTCACGGTGACTTGGCAATCAAGAACTTCTGTCACATAATCAACCTTTCCTACCCAACTCTCATTGGTAAGAACTACTAGCCAAAACCACAGAAACACAGTATTCTTATCACAGAATCAGTACACTCAGCAGGACCACGAGCTCCCCAAGCCCTGGGGCAAAGGGAGCGGCAATTCAGAAAGAACTTTTCCTTAAACTGACTCTCCCAACCTCTGCGTAGGTCGACAACTGAATGGCAGAGACAAAGCTCCCAGAAGGTTCAAATTCACCTTGGCTTTGGGCAGTCTTTGCATTTCTCACCAGTCTACATGTGATCATGAGAGATAAAATATATTTAATTTTTTGGAGACTTCAAAAACTGAATTCAAGCCAGGCTCAGTGGTATGCACCTGCAGTACCAGCTAGTCAGGAGGTTGAGATGGGAGATCACTTGAGCCCAGGAGTTTGAGGCTGCAGTGAGCTGAGATCACATCACTGCACTCCAGTTTGGGCGACAGAGGGAGATCCTGTCCTTTAAAAACAAAGTAACAGGCCAGGGGTTGTGGCTCATACCTGTAATCCCAGCACTTTGGGAGGCCAAGGCAGGCGGATCACTTGGGGTCAGGAGTTAGAGACCAGCCTACCCAACATGGTGAAACTTCATTTCTACTAAAAATACAAAATTAGCTGGGTATGGTGGCTCATGACTGTAATCCCAGCTACTCGGGAGGCTGAGACAGGAGAATCGCTTGAACCCAGCAGGCAGAGGTTGCAGTGAGCCGAGATCGCGACACTGCACTCCAGACTGGGCAACAAGAGTAAAACTCCATCTCAAAAAAAAAAAATTAGCCAGGCATAGTGGTGTGTGCTAGTCCCAGCTACTCATGAGGCTGAGGCACCACACTAGAATTCCTTGAACCCAGGAGATGGAGGTTGCAGTGAGCTGAGATCACCCCACTGCACTCCAGCCTGGGCAACACAGCAACACGCCGTCTCAAAAAAGAAACAAACAAGGCCAGGTGCAGTGGCTCACACCTGTAATCCCAGCACTCTGGGAGACTGAGGTGGGTAGATCATGAGGTCAAGAGATCCCAGACCATCCTGGTCAACATGGTGAAACCCGTCTCTAAAAAAAAAAAAAGAAACACACACACACACACACACACACACACACACACGTCTGCTGGGACCTAGTACAGAAGACTGGTCCAAAACAGTGGGCTTCCATAAACTTTAACAGTTGAACAATTAAATGAAGGAACACTGATAAAACAACTAAAAATCAAATAATCTCACTCCCTGTAAATGACCACTGCTAGACACACACTCTACTTTGAAACTTCCATGTGAGTTCTTACACCACAACTTTAAAATTTCTCCAAGCTTTAGAAATTAATGGATTTTATTTAGGAAAGAACTCACTGGAGAACCAGTCTTAAACTTCAGCAATGCACATGCCTGTAATCCTAACACTTTCAGAGACAGAAACAGAAGGATTGCTTGAGTCAAGGAGTTCAATACCAGCCTGGGGAACATAGTGAGACCCTATCTCTATAAATTTAAAAAAGAAAAAAACAAGAAAGAAACTTCTATCGGGCATCACCAAGGTTGAGATCTCAATCTTAAGGCTTCCCACAAAACTACTTTCACTAAGTCACTGGTCTGCTCAAGCCAGCCCCAGCCCACAGTTTACTGTGTGTCTGGAAACTCCGCATTTTTCAAACCACAACCTACTCATCAGCTTCTCATCTCCTATTTCTAATTTTTTTTTTATGAGATGGAGTCTCTCTCGGTCGCCCAGGCTGGAGTCCAGTGGCACGATCTCAGCTCACTGTAACCTCTGCCTCCTGGGTTCAAGCAATTCCCCACTTCAGCCTCACAAGTAGCTGGGATTACAAGCGCCCACCACTTACGCCCAGCTAATTTTTGTATTTTTAGAAGAGACGAGGTTTCACCATCTTGGCCAGGCTGGTCTTGAACTCCTGACCTTATGATCCACCAGTCTCAGCCTCCCAGAGTACTGGGATTACAGGCATGAGCCACCACGGCTGGCCTTCTTACTGCTATTAAAGAGATACCCTTTGCTCCAAATTTGGTTACACAACATATCCTAGATTTGGGACCCATCTTTTGAGGTTAGGAATGTTAAAGAATAATACCCATCTCTCCCCTTTTTTTGTGAGACAGTGTCTCTCTCTCTGTTGCCCACACTGGAGTGCAGTGGCATGATCTTAGCTCTCTGCAACCTCTGCCTCCTAGGCTCAAGAGATTCTTGTGCGTCAGCCTCCCAAGTAGTGTGCACCACCACACCCGACTAATTTTTGTATTTTTAGTAGAGACAGGGTTTCACTATGTTGGCCAGGTTGGTCTTGAACTGCTGGCCTCAAGTGATCCGCCCGCCTCAGCCTTCCAAAGTGTTGAGATTACAGGCGTGAGCCACCGTGCCCAGCCTCATCTTTTGAGGTGCCGAAAGATACCATCTCCTTCATGAAACCTTCCCATAGTGCCCATGCAGAAGTGATCATTTCAACTGTTTTCTAGACTACTGTAATTTCTTATTACTTGCAGCAATTAACACAAACAACTCCCCTTTGGGGTTGACTGCATTTTGTCTTCCCCACTGCAAAACAAAATGTGACTGAGTTAGGTCTCAATCTATAGAGGTTTATTTAGCCAAAGTTGAAGATGCACCCAGGAAAAAATACAGATCGCAGGAGTATCTACGACCTACGCTTTTTCCAAAGGTGGTTTTGGGAGCGTTAGTATTTAAAGGGGAATGAACAAGGAGAAGGAAAAAGAGGGAGGATAGGCAATAAGGTAGATGGTTACATTCTTTTTTTTTCCTTTGAGAAGGAGTCTTAACTCTATTGCCCAGACTGGAGTATAGTGATAAGATCTTGGCTCACTGCAACCTCCACCTCCCGGATTCAAGCAATTCTCCTGCCTCAGCCTCCCAAGTAACTGGGAATATAGGAGCCACGACCATGCCTAGCTAATTTTTGTATTTTTGGTAGAGATGGGGTTTCACCAAGTTGGACAGCCTTCTCAAACTCCTGACCTCAGGTGATCCACCCACCTCTGCCTCCTTACAGGCATGAGCCATTGCAATGGTTGCATTTTTGTGAGGCTCTCATGAGCCTCAGTAAATCTGCATTTTACATAAGATAAAGTAAAAGTGAAAAGCTGGAGTAGGGGAAATGAGGCTATGACATGGGATTGTGAAATTACAGCTGTCTGGGAACCTGTCTGTTGGGGAACAAAAGGAAAAGCAGTTTTTGGGTGATTCAGTTCCCAAGCCAAACTTTCCCTTTGGCATAGTTTGAAGTTCCAAGATATTTTTTTCTTTCACAATCACCATACTGAAAAATTCCTTAAGGGAAGGGACATGTCTCACAATTGTTTCTATCTACCATTTTCTCCCTACCTGCCCCCAATCCAAGCACTTAAAATACAAGAAATGGGACAGGAGTGGTGGCTGATGCCTGTAAACCCAGCACTTTGGGAGGCCAAGACAGGCAGACTGCTAAAGCCCAGGAGTCAGAGACCAGCTTGGGCAACATGGTAAAACCCTGTTTCTTTTTTTTGAGACAGAGTCTTGCTCTGTCACCAGGCTGGAGTGCAGTGACATGATCTCGGCTTACTGCAACCTCTGTCTCCTGGGTTCAGGCGATTCTCCTGCCTCAGCCTCCTGAGTAGCTGGGACTACAGGCATGTGCCACCATACCCGGTTAATTTTTTGTATTTTAATAGAGACAGGGTTTCACCATGGCCAGGATGGTCTGGATCTCCCGCCTAGGCCTCCCAAAGTGCTGGGATTATAGGCATGAGTCACCAAGCGAAGCTGGCAAAACCCTGTTTCTAAAAAAATTTTTTTAATTAAAAATAAGCTGGGTGTGGTGGCTCACGCTTGTAATCCAAGCACTTTGGGAGGCCAACGTGGGCTGATTATCTGAGGTCAGGAGTTCGAGACCAGCCTGGCCAACATGTTGAAACCCCTTCTCTATTAAAAACACAAAAACTAGGGCCCAGCATGGTGGCTCACACCTGTAATCCCAGCACTTTGGGAGGCTGAGACAGGCAGATCTCGAGAGATCGAGACCATCCTGGCCAACATGGTGAAACCCTGTCTCTACCGAAAATACAAAAATTAGCCGAGTGTGTTGGCAGGTGCTTGTAGTCCCAGCTACACCGGAGGCTGAGACAAGAGAATCACCTGAACCCAGGAGGCAGAGGTTGCAGTGAGTTGAGATGAAGCCACTGCACTCCAGCCTGGAGACAGAGTGAGACTCTCTCTCAAAAAAAAAAAAAAAAAAAAAAAAAAAGGTACAAAAACTAGCCAGCATAATGGCGTGCACCTGTTTTCCCAGATACCTGGGAGGCTGAGACAGGAAAATTGCTTGAACCCAGGAGGTGGAGGCTGCAGTGAGCCCATATTGCACCACCGCACTCCAGCCTGGGCGACAGAGTGAGACTCTCTCTCAAAAAAAAAAAAAAAAAAATTCTTAACAGGAAGGTAAACTGGGTCAACCTCTGAAGCAGATTATGACATAAGCAGATATAGAGGAAGAGAGAAAAATGTGGAGAGCAGAACAGAAGTGAAAAGTGATCAAGTACTCTCACAGGGTGTGTGGTGGGGGGGCTCTTAGTGGCACCCCACAATCTGCCTTCTGCAGAGACAGACTTCTAACCTTCTGTCTGGACTACAGTGTCAAAGTGCAAGTTGATAATTAACAGGGATTTTTCCTTTCTCTTAATCTCCATGTTCATTTTGAAAAAAGGGCACTGAACAATGAAGTCAGCCTTTTCATAACTGTCCATTTTTAGTTTCATTTGTTGCACAAGTGCTTACTGAGCAAGGGATTTTAAGGTGATAAGAGACACACAAATATAGAAGCCGATAGCCCTTAAGGAGTTCCCAATGTGGTCTAATTTAAACATTAATCTCCAAAGGAATTTAGAGAACCTATTCTGAATCCCAGGTTCCTTTTGGATATAACATTTTATCGTCAACACCCCAATCTTGTGATAGAAAAGGGCGGCACACCAAAACTTGAAAACATTTACTTTTAGGACTAGTGCAGTGGCTCAGGCTTAGAATCCCAGCAATTTGGGAGGCCGAGGCAGGAGGATCACTTGAGCCCAAAAGTTTGAAATCAGCACAGTAAACATAGAGATCCCCATCTCTACAAAAAAAATAATCATTAACTCGGTGTGGTGGTTCACCCCCGTAGTCCCAGCTACTCAGGAGGCTGAGGCAGGAGGATCTCTTAAGCCCGAGAGTTCGAGGCTGCAGTGGGCTATGATCGCCACTGCACTCCAGCCTAGATGACAGGGCAAGACCCTGTCTCAAAAAACAAACACAAACAAAAACAAAAACCCTTATTCTCAAAAATTATGAATTTTGTAAATCTCAGCATTTACATCCCTGTTTTTTGAGTTTTGCAATCCACACAGAACCAAGACAAAAGCCAAAGCTCTGCGAACTCGCCTAATCAAGGTCGCCTTGGCTGCAATTCAGATCACCTGAAAAATCCCAAAGCCCAAGCTGCACTCAGCCCAATTAAGTTAGAAATCCAGGCACCCTCAGGTGATTCGAATGTGCAGCCAAGGTTGAGAACGACTGCTATAAATCATTCTGCCCTTGAAACGGGAGAACCAGCATATACATTCTTCAAGGATACCCTCCACCACCGACGCCGTCACTCTCATCCCCCACACACAGGCCACCAGCAATGTCCCCAGATGCAGTTTGGTGTTTCACGCGGTCAGAATCCTATCCTGTCTCACTTGGAGAAGTGAGAGGATGGGAGGAAGATTAATTTAACCTGCCCAGGCCTTGGTCAATATCGCATCCGAGCGGGAAAAAACGCTGGCTTGGCTTTGGGGGCCGCAGAGCAGCCCCTGGACGCTTGTCTCGTCTCCACCTACTGGGGTCCTGGCTTCGGAGTGGGGAATTGAGGGGGTGGAAAAGAGGAAAGCGCTGCGCTGGGGGACGGGATCGCCATAGGAAAAAGCACAGGCTGTCCCCCGAGAGGCCGAGACAAAGCGGCTCCCCCAGCCCGAACATCCGGCGGTACTCACGCAAGTGCCACCCAGCTTGTGGCTCTCCACCACGGCGGCCCTAGCGCCCAGCTCGGCCGCCCTGCGCGCGCTGGCCAGCCCGCCCGAGCCGCCCCCGATCACCAGGTAGTCGTAGGAGACCACGGCGCCGGCGGAGGGCGGAGGGCCCTGCGGCTGCGGCTCCTGCCTGCAGGCCATGACGCGGGAGAGGGCGTGCGTGGCGGCTGCGGGAAAGGGCGGAGGCAGCGGGAAGCCTCGGGAAGCGCGTGCCGCCCGCCGCCAGCTCGGCCTCCCGCCGGAGCTTAGGGCTCGGGGCAGCAAGGCCATACACGCGGAAGTGGCGCGCCGAGGGCGGCGGGCTGCCCGGGGGCGGTCCCCGGGGAAGCGAGGCGCAGGCCCCCGGCAAGCGCAGCCTCACGGTGACTAAGCACCCTGCCGCCGCTAGGGGAGACCCGGAGGGCGCCGAGAGGCGGGGCCGCCTTCCTGTTCCCCGCCCCGGTGGCAGAGCTTGAAGGGTTTCTCCGCCTCCGTCCTCACCCTGGCACATGGCACCTGGCCCCCGGGCGGCGCCGGCCGCTTGTAGCCTTCTGGTCCGGTAGAACAAGGCAAGGGACGGTGAATGCCCTCTCGTTTCTGCCAGCTTTTCGCAAGCTGGCCCCCTGGGGAATTGCCAGTAGCACCGGCTGGTCGAGGAAGAGAAATTTGCCTCTACTGGCGGCGGGGCGGGTGGGGGGTTGTTTCTCCAGGTTTGTTCCAGAAACCAATTAAGTTGTTTTTTTCTTTGAGATTGCGTCTCACTCTCCCCCAGGCTGGGGTGCAGTGATGCGACCTCTGCTCACTGCAGCTTCTATCCACCTCCCGGGCTCAAGCAGCGATCCTCCCGCCTCAGCCATCCCAGCCGCTGGGACTACAAGTGTCTGCCACAATGCTCGGCTAATTTTTTTTTTTGCTTTTTAAAAAGACGGGATCTGGCTGTGTTGCCAGGACTAGTCTGGAACTCCTGACCTCAAGAGATTCTCCCACCTCGGCCTCCCAAAATGCTAGAATTACAGATGCCAGCCACCGTGCCCGGCCTTATTTTTATTTTCTTTTAAAGTCAGGGGTCTCGAACTCCTGTCCTAGGCTCAAGCAATCCTCTGGCCTCAGCCTTCCGAGTAGCTGGGATTACAGGCGTGCACGTGCCCAGTTAGGAACTATATTTTGACCAACACTATCTCTTGCCTTCAGGTGACTCTTAAGTTTGAGAATAATGGAATGGTGGAGTAATTAAGTTTGGAATAGTGGATTAATTCGGAGTTGCGGTTTTTATGATCTACAGATGAAGCACAGAGAAAAAGATAGAGTGGAGACACAAAAGCATTGACCTCCCAAGCTGTAGAGACTATGTGTCCTTTGAGAATATTTACAACTACCAACTGCACAACAAAGTAGTAAGTGCAACTTCGAATATGTCTTGTGATAGGCCACGATCCCATGCCCACAAGGACAGTGCACAGGTCATCCGATCACATCCGGGTAGGCAAAGGAAGGAAGGTCAGGTCACCTGGCAGCAAGGCCCAGCACAAGGAGAGAGAATGGGAACACACCACATCCCAAATGGAATGGGATCCAATTCTTTTTTTTTTTTTTTTGAGATGGACTAATGCTCTTTTGCCGGGCTGGAGTGCAATGGCATAATCTCAGCTCACTGCAACCTCTGCCTCCTGGGTTCAAACGATTCTCATGCCTTAGCCTCCTGAGTAGCTGGGATTACAAGCGCCTGCCACTATGCCCGGCTAATTTTTATATTTTTAGTAGAGACAGGGTTTCACCATGTTGGTCAGGCTGGTCTTGAACTCCTGCCCTCGTGATCTGCCCACCTCAGCATCCCAAAGTGCTGGCTGGGATTACAGGTGAGAGCCACCGCGCGCAGCCTGGGATCCGATTTTTCTGAATACAAAATTTAAGGGAAGAAGAGAAAGTTCTTCATTCCTACAGACTGTCTTGTAATAAATGTAGATGGAACACAGAAAATTACCATTTTGGGCTACGTGTAGTGACTCACAACTGTAATCCCAGCACTTTGGGAGGCTGAGGTGGGAGGATCCCTTAAACCCACGAGTTCAAAACCAACCTGGGCAACACAGGGAGCTCCTCATCTCCACAAAAAAATAAAAAATTAGCTGGGTGTGGTAGCCCAACTACTCTGTAGGCTGAGGTGAAAGGATCACTTGAGCCCAGGAATTCAAGGTTAGTGAGCTATGACTGTAACACTGCACTCCAGCTTGGGTGACAGAGTGAGACCCTGTCTTTTTTTTTTTTGAGATGGAGTTTTACTTATCCATCCGAGATTGTGCCAGGCTGGAGTGCAATGGCACAATCTTGGCTCACTGCGACTTCTACTTCTTGGGTTCAAGCAATTCTCCTGCTTCAGCCTCTGGAGTAGCTGGGGTTAAAGGAATGTGCCACTACGCCTGGCTAATTTTATATTTTTAGAAGAGACAAGGTTTCTCCATGTTGGTCAGGCTGGTCTTGAACTCCTGACCTCAGGTGATCCAACTGCCTCGGCCTCTCAAAGTGCTGGGATTACAGGCATGAGCCACTGTGCCCGGCCGGAGACCCTGTCTCTTAAAAAAAATAAAAGTTTTCTTTCAAACACTAGAGGAGGCTGGACACAGAGGCTTTTGCCTGTAATCCCAGCACTTTGGGAAGAGAAGCCACAAGAGGCTCGTTGGAGCCCAGGAGTTTGAGACCAGTGTAGGTAACATAGTAAGACCTGGTCTCAAAAATTTTAAAATTAGTTGAGTTTGGTGGTACACACCTGTAGTCCCAGCTACTCAGGAGGCTGAGGTAGCAGATCACTTGAGCCTGGGAGGTTGAGGCTGCAGTGAACTGTGATCCTGCCACTGTATTCCAGCTTGGGCAACAGAGCGAGACCCTGTCTCAAAAAACCCTACTAGACAAACTTCGGTGATTTCTATGAAGACATTGTGAAATACTTGTCAAAATAATAAGCCCCTAAGTAACATGTATTGAGCTAAGCATGGTGCTACGAGCTTTATATGTTCTCTCTCCTCAACCCACGAAATAAATACTGTACTATTATAGTCTGAATTTTATAGACGTGGACCCTGAGGTTCAAAGAGGTTAAATAACTTGCACAAGGTTAAACAGCTGGTGACTTGGGATGTTTTTCTAGGATAATCAAATAAAAATTCTATAATAATAAAATTAAACAGCTGGTGAATAGCAAAGCAGGAATTCAAATCCTGAAGGCCTAACTCAGAAGCCTATTAACCATTATTAGAAAGAAACCATCACTGAGTGTGTCTTACAGTGAAAGTACAAGATTAGCTTGGATAACACAGGAAAACCCAGTCTCAACTAAAAATACAAAAATTAGCCAGAGTGGTGCTGTGTACCTGTATTCCCACCCACTTGGGAGGCTGAGACATGAGATTTAATCCCAGGAAGCTATGGTTGCAATGAGCTGAGATCGCACCACTGCATCCAGCCTGGGGCACAGAGTGAGACTCCATCTCAAAACTAACAAAAAAATCCTTTCCCACTTATAGTGACTAATTCATATTACAACTTTGTGTTGAGGTTGTACGGAAAGAGATATTGTGTCACCAAAAAGGTGGTGATGGTACTTCTATAAACAATCTGAGAAATCTATGCAGGAAATAGTGGTACAGAAAGAACTTTGCTAATACACGTTGTTCAATAAAATTTTTCATGTTCCATATATGAAGATAACTGCGGTCACTTAAAAGGATAAAAGTATATAACTCAAGACAGTTGCAGGTGGGGAAAATAAACAGGATAAAAATAATATGAGAAGATGAATAATTGAACATTACTGTTACCCAATATCAGTGTTTAATATTGAGATGCAAGATAAACACTGAAGAGGCAGAGAACAATAACTATAACTCAACGTGGAATTAACAAAAGCAAGTTATACTATAAAGGGAAATAAATTTTCAGAGGGACATAGCAAGTTTGCTTTGCTGAGAACACTGGATACAACCTCAAAAGATAACATCGAAAGGAAAATCACACATGCACTGAAGACCTCTTTCACAATTTTGATGTCTGATTGTTTCAGTAACATATCTTGAAAGATCATGGGGAAGGCCACAAAAAGCTTTGGAAATAACACTACTGCCTGGGTGCGGTGGCTCACACCTGTAATCCCAGCACTTTGGGAGGCCAAGGCAGGCCAATCATGAGGTCAGTTCAAGCCCAGACTGGCCAACATGCTGAAACCCCGTCTCTAGCAAAAATACAAAAATTAGCCAGACATGGTGGTGCATGCCTGTAATCCCAGCTACTGGGGAGGCTGAGGCAGGAGAATGGCTTGAACCCAGGAGGCAGAGGTTGGGGTGAGCTGAGCTCACCACTGCACTCCAGCCTGGACAACAAAGCAAGACTGTCTCAAAAAAAAAAAAAAAAAGAAAAATACTACTATTCCTATTCTGAATCTAAATATATGGTATTGTTTCTGTAACTGTTTATTTTTATTTTTTTGAGATGGTGTTTTGCTTTTGTCATCCAGGCTAAAGTGCAATACCACAGTCTCAGCTCACTTCAACCTCCGTCTCCTGGGTTCAAGCAATTCTCTTGCCTCAGCCTCCTGAGTAGCTGGGATTACAGGCACCCACAGCCGCACCCAGATAATTTTTGTTTTTTTAGTAGAGACAGGGTTTCACCATGTTGGTCAGGCTGGTCTCAACTCCTAACCACAGGTGATCTGCCCACCTTGGCCTCTCAAAGTGTTGATATTACAGGTGTGAGCCACTGCACCCAGCCCTGTAACTGTTTATTTTTAAAATATATTTTGCAATATTTAAGATAAACAAAGTACCTGTTAAATAATAATACAATGGCACATCCACACCTCTTAGCTTAAGAAATGTAGTACTACCACACTGTCTAGTTCTACATAGTTTTTCCAGTTGCATCCTTCTTCCTGTCTCCCTCCCCCAAGAGGTAATCAATGTCCTAAATGTGGTATTTATCATTTCCTTCAT